ATAAGAAAGTAGTTGGCGTTTGTTTTAAACGTCACTGTGATAAATAAATATTCAGTATATCCCAATTGTTTAGAACAGGTACTCTTCCAGCTGTTTAAAACAATGTTAATGTAAGTATTTAGTAAAGTGGTAAGGAAAAACACCATTTTGACAAACGTTTCAGTTGACTGACCAAATGTACTTACTTTTTAGTGGATGAAAATAAACAATACATTCCTTAAACTGAACGGTTTATTTATGATCAGTTACATTACAGATGTTCTACATTAAAAAAGGATTCATCTATTTATTAAAAACTACCCTAAGATAATTTGTGATTACGTATTTTGTCTTGAGGTAATAGTCATGTGAAAACTTTGAGTCAATGGTCCTATACTAAACTACAAAACCTATATGCAATACAACACTGCTGGGTAGTGATTTTTCGTAAGCAAATTTATGACATGTAAGTCGTTCTGTTTAGTAATCATTACATAGGTTTATCAGAACAATATTTGATTCTAGTGTAACTAAATCCAATACACTAATTCAAAAATCAAGACATTGTATTTCCGGTTACTGAGTTACGCTAACCTCCTTTTTCAATTAATATTTTTAGTCCCGTTACTGTAAAAAAGAGAAATGAACGTCTGAGTTTGTATTAAAAAAAGTATAAACAACCGAGATTTTTATCAATAATGATGGCGATTCCTAGGTGAAAAAAAAACATGAATCTCACAACAAACAATATGATGGTCGAAGCAAAGCCAGATTTTGTCGAAGTATTCCATTTTAGATAAGCAGTAATGTGCGTTAATACGGAATAGGAATCACAACACTAGGAATTTAGGGTGTTAACTGATGTAATTTTGTAAGTTACTAAATAGTGATGAATATAGGAAGCTTATTAAGTTGGTTACTGTTTAAATTAGTTATGCTGCTGTACTTCTACTCAGTGATACATTAACTGTAGCCTTAATCTTAAATGAGAAGAAAGAGCCATGAAAGAATTGCATTTTCGAATAACCAAATTACTTCATATTGATATTTTTACAAACTATTGATTATATCCATTCTCAAGTATTGTCTCTTTATCATGGTTTGACAAAAGTTACTTGAGGGACAAACAGAGCTATCTGATGGGTATTAGTTATTAACTTGCTTTCAAATTGTACAACCTTAAGGTAACCTAACGAATCAATTTCTAGTATTTCTTATGAAAAAGTGATCATCTTTCATATAATAACTAAAGATTAACATTTTCCTGAACAATGAAATTCAAATTTATTTGAGTCTTCGAAGTTAATTTACAACAGTTTCATTAAAACTTGTTTGTCAGTAAACGCCGTGCTAAAAATATATCAATCAATATGCGATAAATACTTGACGTCACTAGCTTTAATGAGTTAAACTAATTGCAGATAGGAGATTAAGTACCGATAACTCACCGTGCATTTAAAGCCGTTTGTACAAGCTCTTAATCTGGTCTTCTAAGTTATCACGTCCTTGAGCGAATGAACTTTCATTCAGAGGCTACTAACTTATTTCGAATTCATCATCAACCTGGTATATATGAAATATAGGGGTTAAACCTAATGAAAGCTTCATACCAATACTATTTGGTGTTCTCAAAGCTTCTGACGATTTTCTTCCAGACGGTTTCAAATGAATGGAAATCTTTTTTCACAATCCATTATAAAAATAATCCCGTCGTACAATGATGATCATAATATCTCAGATTCAAGTTAAACAGTTCTCAGTCGGTGTACGCAGTAATTACTGAGATTTATAAGTTTTGGTCGATTTCACCTATACTGCTTAAAACAGCAGTATCGTTCAGTTGAATAAAATTGAGTACTACTTGAAACTAGTTCCTAGGACAGTGCTTAATAATCAAGGTGATTCAACTTTAACAACGCTATGAATTAATGAACTGGTCTAGGACTCAAAAATAAGTTAATACGTCTTGGCGACCTTTAACTAAACTTCAATATCGTCAAGGAAAGCATACAAAAACAAACGTGTATTTACTTGGATTACTAATCTGGTCAACGCTATCCAGAGAACACTCTGAAAATGATAGATGAATAGTAGAAATGAGATGACTGTTGACTTAATTTTAACATTTTAGTGTGTCATGAGGGTAAGTGCTAAAATAATCAATTCGAAGGCAGCATCGTTAATTATTGAATCTAATTTTTCAGAAGTTGAATTTACCAACAAAGCTAAATAAGCATCGCTAAAATGTTTCTCTTAATACAATAACACTAACTTCTCATTAATCCTCCATTTACCACTTATCAAAGCTCTCCGATGATTTTATGCATATTTCTTCACTACATTCTCATGAACACAAAACGTTTTGTAAATTTGCTACTTATCAAGTTCCAAATAGGTTAAATCGATACCTCTTCCTAGGCTGAATTCAATCTATCCTTTCGTAAGCACAAGGGTAAATTATTCATTTATCATTTATAAAAGCTATCCAAGGTAGGATAGACCGTGCGTCGCCTTTTGCCAGAGAGTTTTCATGTTTGATTTGAAAGCCGTATCAATGCATACTTGTATATCAAAATGAGCACTTCAAGAAACATCTGCTTTCATTTCTTGATTAATGTTTACTTCACAGCCATATTGGTTTCAGTATAATTTATCTGATTTCCAGGATGAGCTTAAACTACTAACTCTCCTTCTAGTTATCAAGTAAAAGTATAATTATAACTTCTTCAGATTTAGTTCACTACCTTATACTGACTAACCTACTTAATTGTAATAATTCCTTTCAGACAATATTCCCTTATAGATTTATCACAACAAATAAAGTTTTGATGTTGCTTGGAAAATACTAGGCAGTTAAATAAAATAAAAATATTTTTGGACTTTGTTGTTGATTATATTTACTGGTAGACAATGACATTGGATATTACCGGATATTTTAGCACTGTATGTATAATCCACTGACCGTATTAAATGATGCGAATGTTTTATGTTAACTAAGTTATTAAAAACTGTTCATACAACATCGTCAGAAACCCAAACATAGAAAGCAGTACTTGATGAAATTAGTTCTATTTCATTTATGGTGGAAGAGATTCTGTTCCTACACTGACTCAACGTCAATACGAAGGATACAAACTTACTACATCAGTTTCGTTATGAAGAGTACAACTTTCTCGAAAAATACAAACTTGTTTTCTCTAAAAGTTTAAAATCATTGGAGAATTTTATGCTTCTTGAAAACAAAATTTGTGAAACAGACTGTTGGAAGAAAAAGTGACTCAGAACTTTGTCATCAAGGAAAAGATAGTGACCTTACCATGCGAATGAAAATCCAATATCTGTTCATTTAGTGCAAATCAAAACGATTATGTGGTGCCTGTTATTAAGATGTTTTAAGAAACCTTTGTGTCCCAACAGCGCGGACTGTTTGACCACATGGTCGCACTAGGTATTTCATTAAAAAAGGCACAACCGCGCTTGAAATCACATATTGAAGCTTTCGACGTTACAAATTTACAGTCAACAGGGAAACATGGCTCAGTAGCGAAAACCATAGAACATTTTGATTAATTTCTAAAAATCCGATCCATGATCTAAGTAGACTGGTTCATTTGAATTTACCTCAACGATTTAATGAACTCACAAGGATCGTGTTTCGGATATTCTAAGACTTTGATCTCTGGTATATATGCATTAAATAAATCGCTTATCCTTTATCTGGCTCCATATCATTACAAAACTGGAACAGATCAAAACATTTATAGTATCCTGTTTGTTGTTGCCACTTGGACGCCTACTGACTGCAGCGAGAACCAAACTTTTTGTTGGAAGCCGTTATCTACAACAAACATACAGCTGGAGAACCCCATGGAAATTAGTCGAGATAGTGTCAATGAGATATTCAGGGAAGGATTAGCTATAGAATTGCTGAAAGCCCACATTTTAAGGGAGCTTAGCATTATCTCTAGCTTGTTGTAGAAATCGTAGAAACGACTAATAGAAATCTCCAAGGTTTAAGCGATGATCGCGAGTCGTTAAGCATTAAGAAAGCAATATGGACGGAAAAATAAGTGGTGGTGGATAGAAACAGACAGTCTTTTAAACCTATTAAATACTCTTACGACCTGCACGTCCGAATTAGCCATGATATCCGCCCTTTCTAACCTCTGATTCAACTAGCCTTTAGAAATTGAAAAGTCCGAGAATGCGTACTAAGAATTAAGAGATCAGCATTTGGAAAAAATGTCGCTTTAAACAAGCCGTCTAAGTTGATGGACAAAATACTGTTGGGAACATTCCAACTGGTTTCCAACTACCCTTAGTTACTTTTACATGATGCAGACAATGAACCTCCAAGTAGCAGCAAAACCTGATGCACCGAAAATTAGTTGGATTAAGAAAGAATATAATATTAAGATGACTTAACTTGAAGACTAAAGATATTTGTGACATTTTATGGGTTAGACTGACATTTAGAGCTTAAAACCGAAGTAATTGTCGGCGTATACGCTACTATATTGGCTAAAAGTAGTCGGAAACATATCCAGACAGAAAACGTAACCAAAAAATGGAACAAACGTTTTTGATAGTGACTTTGACATTGAATGATTAATAAATGATGAAAATCAACTTCATTAATTCAAGTATCCATTTCTACTGCAGAAAGTACTACTTCTCCGAGTCAGGGACTGTGAATTTAGTTCAATCATTGTTAACTGAACTTAGAAATTGTCTGCATTACAATTAGTTCATATATGGTGTTCGGAATTCAATAACCTTATCTAACCATTGACCGAAGGTAAGATTTGGGGAACGTACCTTAATTTAGATTGCATGGTAACGATAAAAAATACATTGAATATGAACTAATAGGTTAGTGTATTGCCACTCAGAAGTCCATCAAAATTTCAGATAATCGTAAAGCATATTACGAAGAAAATTATACTTAAATACTATATATATATATATATAAACCAAATGAAGCATTTAAAACACGTTTTTCCAATCCTTGATGGAAATATGAAAATGAGAACTTTATCTCCCTAATATTCGAAGTTAATAATTATCTTAATGTGGTTCTCCAAACCTTTTCCGGAACTTAGTTGTGCTATCAAATCCTTATTGTATAAATAAAACTGACGATAAACAGATATGACGTTACACAATAAAGATTTAACGAGGTGAATAACTTCAGAAAAAGTTAGAAAGCAAATCAATTTGTTGAGTATGATAGCTATAATTGTCACTAGTTACAAAATGCGCTTGAGTTTATATATTGGTTCGATTGGATCACCAATTACATGAACAAATGGTTTATAAATTACTTCGCCATCCTTCACTTTATCATATAAAGGGCTGTCAGGAAACGGTGAAAGCTTCTCTGTACTAATGGTAAAACGTCCATTACTTAGTGCTACTAAGTTCCATGTTTCTGGGTCTAATTTGACAGATTCACCCGGGTATATTTCCATACCAAGCTAAAAGATTGGAATAAAATTCCACAGTAAACTAATATAGTAATAAATGAAAATATCTTTGAAAAAACATTATGCATAATATGACTATCGTGGTTTAGTTCGGAATCCTGTTAATTTATATTTCCAACTAACTAACAACTCTAGGTTGTTACTACAAAATAATTCTGTGAATCATAATTTCTCCATTAGTTTTATGTTATTCTACCTGATATTTTGTCTAATGTACATTTGTACCTACGGAATCAGAATATATTTTAATGCAAAAACTAGATATATAAACCGTGATCAAAAATTCCACAGGTATGGAACATCTAGAATGGTCAGTAGATTGTTTTGATTATTATCATTATTTTATGTATTATTTAAAAATAAAGATATTGGCACAAGGGGGCACCAAAATAGATATGCGTCACACAATAAGTAAATGAGATTGTGAAAGAATATAGGAAAGAAGGTGAATATCGTCTTTATAAACGCAAAAAATGAATAAAAGTAAGGGAATGAGAGAAGTAGATAGCAGTAGGACTAGTTCAGTTAGGAGAATACAATCAGGAAGAATTCTTTCACTTAAAGAAGTTTCCCTCACTTTTTTAGAAAAATTAAAAGAAAATTACAGCAGGAATATCACTGGCTTTTATTATGAGCTGTTTAATAATGACTCAAACTACGATATTGCACTATATCTAGGAATCCAACCAGGAAGCCGTGGAGGGCCGAAGGATTCCAGTGTTATACAACTTTCTTTCATGCCGAGGCACTATGTCATAAATTGATTACCCTCCATTTTTCCAACTACTTCAAGAGTCTGCAAATAATGAATAATTTATAATTTGCCGGAACAACATTCATGGAGTAGGGCCCAAGCCACCAAAGCCGGTAGCACCATTTGGATTACCATCACTTTGCACGAACACAAGTAGCCAGACCTCTGTATTGCTAACGTGGTGTTACGATAGAATGTCAGCAATCCTGCGAAGACGACGATCATCAAACATAGAGAGCTGTCTAACATCCTCAACCCGGAAGCCAGGTTTCACAAGTATAGAGAGAAACTGCTCTAAACGACGCACCGTAGACCCAACTTTCCAGTCTGACTAATATCACGAAGGTTGAGACAATAGCCCAACTGGCATAGGCTACTCTGGCTTTCACTAAACGTAAGTTGATCTTATCAACCATGACACCACTAGTACTTAATAAATTTTTGGTTACTTCCAACTGCTCACTACCAAGAGTGAGTGCAAGCACATGCTCCTGTCAGTCTTGCAAAAGTACTTAGCACTTAAAATTCAAGATAGCTCTCAACAACAGGTTCCAAGCCTTACAGGATCTACTCAAACAAGAAAAAACTACTATGGACGACAACTGGAAAGAGAACAAAGAATCACTAACTTCAACGTATCAGGAGGTTCTAAGCGCATCTAACATCATCATAAGGAATGGACCTCTATAGAAACCTGAACAAGATTCAAGAAAAGAAGAACAAGAGGACAGTAATTAACAGCAGCCAAACAAGAACAGAGAAGGTCAAGGCACAAGCTGAGTACATATAAGCAAACAATAAAATCAGGAAGAGCGTCAGAGCTGACAAGCAGAAATACATGGAAGACCTAGCAATGACAGGAAAAAGCTACAAGAGAAGAAGCGTAAAACAACTATATGACACAACGAAGAAAGTAGAAGGGAAATATGGTAAACCAGAGAAACCAGTCAAGGACAAAGAAGGCAAGCAACTCAGTGAGATTCAAGAACAGAGAAACAGATGGGTCGAACACTGAGGAATTCTTGAATCGACCAGCTCCACTGAATCCACTGAACATCAAAGCAGCACACATAGACCTTCCTATAAATTTCACTGCACCAATGATCGAAGAAGTCAGCATGACCATTAGACAAATCAAGAGTGGGAAAGCAGCAAGACGTAAAAGTAACTGTAAACATGCTCCACGTTCTATTCAGGAAGATTTTGGAGGAAGAACAAGTGCCACTGACACACTGGAAAGAAGGACACTTCATCAAAATACAAAGAAAGAAGATCTGAACAAGTGTGAGAACTACGGAGGCATCACAATACAATCGGTACCAGAAAATGTTTTCAACAGAGTGTTGCTGAACCGGACGAAAGGTTCAAAAGATGCCCAACTTTGAGGTCAAGAGCTTCCGGCTGAAGTGGAAATTATGGGAAGACGATAGAGGTGCATAGGACATACATTACGGAAGTCATCAAACTGCATCACGAGGCAAGCGCTAGCTTGGAATCCTGAAGGGAAACGGAAAAGAGAAAGACCAAAGAACACACTGTGTCGAGAATCAGAAGCAGATATCAAAAGGATGAATAGCAACTGGAAAAGATTGTTCAGAGCCGAGTTCAATAGAGAATGCTGGTGGGCGGTCTATGCTTCTCCACGAGGGGTAACGGACGTCAGTAAGTAACCACTCCCAAACCTTTGACCTGGAGATCTAATTTACAAGGTGGTGGAGCAACACTAAAAGGTACAGTTCCATGATAGCCGGTGACCAAGAATAGGTTCGTGAGCTACTCAACCCCTGAGGTCGCTGGAGCCCATGTGCACCATTGGTTTGAATCAGTGTTTTTCAACTCCTCCAGGTGGATTTTATGTATCTACCAACCCGATGCAAGCGCTGGATATTCGCTTTATCTTCTTACTTCCCTAAACAATACCCCTACCACGAGAAGGCAGTTAGTACGAATTCCTTGGCCGTGGCTATATGCGAGTGGTTATATGAGAACATTCCGAGAGTGGACTCTCCCAATCCTCAACTGTACCAGGGCGCTTTTCACTTCATAGGTGCTACGAAACGTACTAAGAGAAAATACTAAAAAAGCAAACTCTACAGAACAGTGAAAGTCTCTCCAACTACACTGAGAAACTTAACTGGATGAGTAACCAGAAAGCAATTTTTGGTACCAAATATTTTAGTTAAAATTTGTATTATATTCTGCTTAATCATCCACTATGGATTGTTTTGATGGACTGGATATGTGGACATCCTCCAAACTTGTGTATATCCTACGACTTTATACATGATACGATGAGCCAGTTACACTTAAAAGATATGAATAAAACAAACTCGATAAAATAGATTATCATTACACTGAATTACAGGTCACTATTAAAATTGGGGAAAGCGAAAACAATTGTGATGTTTCATAAGTATCCTCTCAGCAAACGTGGGCTGTTTACAAATGCAAGACATACCTTGGGTGAACCAAAGTTAGTCGGCCAAGAATTAAGATTCAAAGAATCTACATAACAATGTATAGACCCTAAACATATACCCCCTAGAATCTTCATCGATTGAGGTGGTTGGGACATGTGTTATGTACGCCTGACAACTTTTTACATTGACAGGGAATGCTGTCTGTTGTAAGAGAAAGCTGCAAGAATGCTAGGGATAACCAAAACAAGACGTGATATCAGTCCATAAAGCCAGCGACTATTTGATTGACTCATTGTGGTGGATGCTGACCACTTGGTTGAAGTCTGTGTGATTGGTGGTTGGAGTAACATGACCCAGAAGCGGTCATAATGAAACAAACGTGCCAACTTTATCATACTCCAGATCTGGAGTTCATCATCCCTTCATATATCTCTTCTCATTGTCGTTTCACACCACACTCCCTATATTTGGTCTTCCTCATTAGCACTTACCACACTATTCCAGCCTTCCTTGTCCTAGTGTAATATGGAAACTTCGGATAAGGCGCATTTGTGCCAGGCCTTGTATTGGTCATGATTGACGGACTGCTCATGAGTTTCACGTAGTCATGCAAAAAAACACTACAAACTACCCAGCCCTAATGACATATTCTACAAAAGAGAACAATTTCATGTCAGATCCTTGTCAGATGGTATTCTATGGATATATATACGTTCACATGTTACCCTCTGCTTTATGCATACCTTTATCACTTGCAACAAAATAGAGATATCAACAGCACAACCGTTACAAAATTATTCACGCTTTACAAATGAACAAAGACCAACAAAAACAATGTACCTGCCGAACTAAGATATCACCTTTATAGACATAATCTCCATCATTAAACTGAAAACCACGAAGAGTCTTCACAAGTACAGAAGGTCGGTACCTAGAAGGGGTCTCGGCGTAGTTCTTCTTTTTTTTAATCCCTGCGCATCTGAAAGGTTGTCTAAAAAATACTGAAAACGTTGAAAAAACTAAACTTTATTACCTAGTTGAGCTGAGCGTAATAAACTTCCACTGGACAAAGACATAGCAAGATGGTTCCTTTGAGAATGGGTAATCTGAAACGGAAGACTTCATTTCTGTGTAGTAGGAATGAAACTCTATGGTATACTGTATGGATATAAACATACAGGCAAACGGATTGGTGTCCTAAAAGAAACTAGCTCCGATCACATAAGCGTTATACTAGTGCACCGTCTTTAAAAATGACTATGGCAGATATTGGTACGGTATTGTTTAATAGATGACGTTTCGTACACAATTTATGATATGCCATTCAAAAAGCTTTAAGATCATATCTTATAAACTCAATACTATTCTTTCTTCAGATTCATTGACAACAGGACCCTCCATATTATCTGCATATAATTTTCATGGGACCGTTCTTGATTACCTTTTTCGAAGCAACGGCTTAGGTATTGATGTAGTGGACGGTATTCACAAAGGTGTTTATTAGTGTGCATCAGGACGTGGCGTCGAATTTGCAACAATCATCTAACAGAGTGAAGGGTTTCAGTGCACAAAAAGCACGGTGTTGGCAGAAAACTTGGAAGCTAGTCGAGAAAACAGTCCAGACTGCATAACACACCGTAAGCTGCAAACGGACGATTAAATGCTATGTGTAAGTATTATGTAAAGGTTTTGTAACTTCGCACAATGACCACACATTCTTCCTGCCCACTGTCATGCTTTCCATTGAAAGCACTTGGTTTTACATCACTAAGCCTGAAACTTAAAATGCTCTACTTCAGTTTCTGTAGCCGACTAGTAGCACCAGGCCTGAAGAAAGTGACTTGAAACTTAGTACACGAGATCCCAGCATGTTGTTAAGTCGAGTCAATTAAACCAAATTACAGATAATCGAAATTATACTTCTATACTTTCGACGAAGACCTCACAAGACGTTTAAGAACCAGTTTTATGGGAATGTTAACAGCAGTTGACTTTACCAACACAATTAGTTCCATCTCTAGAAAATAAGGGATGGTATACGTATAGATCAGTGCTATCATGCAGAGAAGTAATAAGATAATTAGTGAGGTTTAAACCTATCTATTGCTATGTATGAATTCAATAGGAAGACTGTTAATAAACAACCTTCACAAAACCTGATAGTTAAAAACCAAGCTCATCGAAGACTCTAGTTACCTCAACATTAACTACAACTATATTGAACAAATTTTTCCTTGTCTCTTGGTACTTTACTATAGTTGAAAAAAGATTCTACAAAAAACATCACTTTTACTAAAATTCTCAATAAGGTTTAGGCTAACTGACTAGCTATACATACAATAATATGGACTTAAAAGTGGTTATGAATTTTCTAAAACCTGGACTAGTCAACAGTCTACTCAGAGTCCAGGATCACCCATTTTGGATTATTATTATTAGTAGTAGTATCACTAAACTTCACATATCCATCGCCCAAATCGGTACACTGTAGCAATTACTAGGATGATTCAGTAGCCTCAGAAAACAAATATAGGGTGGTAAAGCGGAGATTCATCCAGCACCACAACCTGCTAAGTTTAAAACTACGTGTCTGACAAAGCCGAATCTACTTATTCACTGGGACTTTGATAAGCAACATCTCGGACACAACCACAACTTCACATTAAACAAGATCAAGGACTTACAACGACGTAAAACAACTAGTCCTCACTAGTTGTAAGTGACGAAAAGATGAAGTATGATTTACTGCCCAAACGGCACAAAACATGTGATTAGAATACGTTTATTCATGGCGACCGGATAAAACAGACGATGATCATCACAGGGCATTACTAAAACACGGACAAGAGGAAGCGGCACTTTGTTCTAGGAAACGAATGTCACAATTATTGAACGAATCTCCAGGCAGAAGTGAGAAAATAGGTACCAAATTAAGAGATTTCCAACGCTCACTGTTCAGTGTTTTACACTTCACATCTAAAACTCACAGAAACAATTGCCGTCTTGAGCACCGTTGTGTCCAAGCTGGGGTAATTCAACTAATTCCAAACTCGTCAGTAGTAAGTTCACCAGATGATCCTTTCCTTATCTGACTACTTCTAAATTCCCTACAAGTCTAGCTTATCTTGTCAGCATCTATCTAACTCGTCTGATATACAAGAACAACATAGACATAGTGCCCAATTTGAGTGATCAGAGTTCAGTTAGTATTTCTCCGTAGCTCCTTCTCATATGATATTTCTGTATATGAGGTCTCCCGAATCAACCAAAAGTTAACTTTTTATTCTATGTCAAATAACAAAAACTGCATATATACATTCATTTAATTTCAACTAAAGGAGAAGACGAAATTAACTTGCAGTTTTCAAGTCTGGAAAACAAATACTTAAAATTGTCAATCGACCGCAACGTTTATAACTAGGTACTTACTGTACTGTGAAACCAGTGACAGGGGTGACCTTGAGTGGCGTATGATTTACAAAAGGATGGCACATTACTTGTGTCAGTCAGGGCTGGAATACTAGTATTCAAAATTGACCTTATAATAAATCCGCGATGAGACACAAATGATTACATTTTTACTAGTTATGCGACTTTCAAAGATTCACGTTTGATCACATTTGAAAGAGGATCAAGATATTTCAAGAAGACGTCACAGAGATGTAGTTCGACTTTATCCTAACTCAGACTTTGACGAGAACTAAGGTGGTACGTCTTTACTGAGAGAGATGTGAAATATTAGAAAGTCTGTTTCACTGATATCTAATTTCGACCCTCAGACAGCCTTAATTGTATTTACTATACTGATAATTGTCACTGACTGTGTAGCAGTAAATAAATCCCCAAAATAAATAGCTCTGTAAGTTTTCGACGTTGGATGCTGACCATATGTTTTGCTGGACTCATCTAGCTGAAGGCGCTCGGTCATGCATCCTCACCAGATCACGTGCGGTGACGCTGTGCTCAACATCTACTGCAATCGCTAGCCAGATTAGATCAGAGAATTCCGATACCCGCAAACGGAGGCTAGTAGACGGAAACAATAATTTATCTGTTTGCTTAACTTCTTCTTCCGGTTGCAGATTATCCCCAGTCACAATTAAGCATACGATAAACCCATTTTATCAACCACTACTCGATAAATACCCTGGGATACAACAAACTCAACCGAAACTACCGTGTGTAACCAGCAACGTTACACATCACATCACGACTACAGGACCACCTGTATTCTCTAAAGCACGACGACTAGCCCCTGAAAAGCTAAGGTTGGCGAAAAACGAGTTCGATCACATGATAGACTTAGGAATCATACGACCGTCAAATAGCCCATATGCATCTCCGTTGCACATGGTCCCTAAAACGGACAGCAACGATTGGCGTCCAACTGGTGACTATCGGCGATTGAATGCAAAACCATTCCCGATCGTTACCCGTTGCCTCACATTCACGATTTGACAGCTACCTTGAAAGGTACAACTGTCTTTTCGAAAATCGACTTGGTTAAAGCGTATAACCAAATCCCTATGGCTACTGACGATATACCGAAAACAGCTATCATAACTCCCTTTGGACTCTATGAATTTTTGCGAATGCCTTTCTGTCTAAGGAACGCTGCTCAAACATTCCAAAGGTTCATAGACGACGTCCTCCGAGGCCTCAACTTCGTACATGCGTATGTTGACGACTGCCTAATCTCAAGTCCGGACAGAGAATCACATCTCAAGCACCTGGATCTTCTTTTCAAACGACTACAAAAACATGGCATTACTGTAAACGTTCAGAAATGCCAATTCGGATCTGACTCATTAGACTTTCTAGGACACACTATAGATGCTCAAGGCATTCGACCCCTTAGGACCGAAGTGGTGGCAATTCTGGATTACCCAGAACCGACCACCACCAAGCAATTACGCACGTTTAACGGCCTGGTAAGTTTCTATAGACGATTCGTACTAAATGCGCTTTACTCACGAAACCGCTAACCGACCAACTTCGTGGAAATGCAAAATCCATCAGTCTAGACAACACTGCACGAAAAGCATTCTCCACAGTTGAGGAACTCATCGCTAAAGCAACAATGCTTGCACATCAGGACACTCAAGCACCCATTAGTATCGCAGTAGACGCATCCGACTCAGCAATCGGAGGAGTCTTACAACAATGGGTTAACAACTCCTGGCAACCCTTGGCATTTTTCTCCAGACGGTTGCTAGACACCGAATCGAGATACAGCACATTCGGTAGGGAACTCCTAGCTATGAATTGTGCTGTACGACACTTTCAACACTACATCGAAGGTCGTGAATTCACTCTTTTCACTGACCATAAACCACTCACCTTCTCTCTAAGCTCTACTTCAGACAAGTACTCCCCCCGTGAGTCTCGACAACTGGACTACATTTCGCAGTTTACTTCAGACATTCAACACATCTCTGGAGCAAACAATGTAGTCGCAGATGCCCTGTCTCCAATAACTTTCTTGAACAGTTTCCAAGGAATCGACCTCCTGAAACTCTCCCAGCTTCAAAAAGAAGACAGTGATCTTCAGCACGCGTTATCGTCTACAACCTTTAAACTACGCATCAAACAGATGGGAACAGGTAAGGTAACCTAACTTTGTGACACATCTACAGGTAGATATCGCCCAATCGTGCCTAAACTTTATCGACGCAATGTCTTCAACACATTGCACAAACTTTCTCATCCGGGTGTTCGTGCAACCATCAAGCTTATAGCGAATGTTGACAAACCTATAAAATAGCAGCATGCTTGCAGTTCAGAAATGCATATCAAGCATAATTCTTACGTTTTTTCACACTGAAAACTAAATTTTGATGTAGGGCAAGAAAGTATTCAAGGTGTTTCTTTTGAGTTTGTAGGCAAACATATATGGATTAATATACTTTCTAACGACAGGCTAATATGGGTGTAGCAATATTTTTCGATTGTTTGAAGTAAAAGTGAAGTTATTCCTATGGATCAAAATTTTGGGTTATAATCACCAGTCAATTTTTTGGCGTTGGATTTATCCTCATCGTTCCCTATATTTTAGGAACAAAATAAGTTTAGAAGGACTGAAAGATATATTTTGCTAACGATCAATGTGTTGGGTGCTTACGCTATGTAAGGCGTCTAGTTGTCGTACAAGATGTGAGGCACGAGATGCTGGAACATAGCCTTGTTGACCAGATACATTCAGTTAAGGATACATCCAGTAAAACTAATGATACTAATATGGATATCAATGTGCTAAAAGTCATTTATATTAACGAGAAATTTTAGCGCTATCTACTCTTTGGGGATTCCATCCCTTTGGTCGAATCATACACTACTAAAGATCGCTCTATTTCGGATTGCGAAGAACGGAAGGGTAAAGAGGATGTTTTAGTCGCAGCATCTGGGCCGATTCACTTCCACTTAGAGTAAACTGACAGGCAAAGATTCAACTACATTTCTACATAGAGTCCTATCGATCGACAATCCAATGAGAAAGACGGTAGTCAGTCCGGGCTAGTGGACCTTTTTTGGGCGTATTTGTAGTTGCTCTGTTATGGAAGGTGAAAAAATGCAGCCCGTTAGGCGAAAAACTATTATTAAATAATTGATAAACTGCAATATAATCATTCGTAGTTCATTCGGGTGACAGGATGAAGGGTGATCTACCCTTACTTTATTCGACCATTATTTTTGAATCTTTCTGTGATGACTTCAGAAGTGCTTAACCTTAGAAAGGGCAAAAAGATAAAATATATTAACACCAACGTTGTTTTTAAGGGGGAAATCACTTTATGTCTTTATATATATAGAATGCATCCTTTCCTGTTCATTACTGAGAAGTCAGGGAAATTCTGAACATGTCCCAAATGAGCTGCATTATGAAATGCTCCGCTGAAATCTGTGAGTAACGTGAACACAAGCTATTGTGGTTGGAGTATCGTCATCCTTTCTGGAAACAGAATATGAAAGCAATTATTTGTCAGAAAGTGTCAAATCAGAACTAGTCAAGAACGGCAGAGAGATCCGGTTGTTCAGCGATTACGGTGAGTTCATTCACTGGCACAACTATCGACAACATTGTCAATTACAACTGTTTATATAGCAATAGTCAGAATATGAATCATGCGTACTTCCGTCGAGTATTGTCACACATTAATATAATACTACGAGCTGTACACTCATATACAATACTGACCACAACCAGAACTGTGATGTGGAGATGCCGGCTCCGAAAAATTGTCTATACACTATAAAACAATGTAAATTGTGCCGGTACCTTAATGCCGTTGAGACAAGGGTTGCTTTTTCAAGTTACCGTTCAGTCTCCTGTCGTAATTACTATGTTAGCCAAGTAGTGACGTTCGCTATAAAAATTAGGTCACTTAGCAGTTAGTAGACCATATCGATCTACTTGGCTAGGCTACTTTTCCCTGACTATATTTATCTAACGGACTAATTGATATGCTCGTTAGACTAATAAGTCAGCAATTAAACACGAGGTGTCGCTTATCTTTCTTTGAGACCAGGATGGCGATCGTATATTTCCGATATTTTGCTCATTGAGTTTGATGAAGTAATACAAAAAACAATTACGTGTGTATTTTTCGGCGATAATAATAAGTATTGCTCTCTTCGACAGCATGTGTTTAATACAACATGGAATCCTTGGTGCATAATATTTATGTAGATTACTGGGCTGGCTTTACACTTCACAGATATATATATATATATACATTAGGATAATTGAAATCATTTAAATCGTTTAAGAAATAAGAATTTACACCAGTGTATGAGCAGCAGATTCATGAGTATAAGTCGTTGGTAAAGTCAGAACTTAAATGCCATTTATCCCATAGTATTTGTGATAGATAAAGTAATGCGTGGCTTTGTACTTTGTTTACGTACTTTGGATCTAATGTATCTATTTCATACAGTCAGAAAGTATACAAGAAGAACGAGTTAAATGGAATGGTTTTTTTATCTTATGACTGACACTTGTCAGTCGTTTGAAAGTTCAAATTTCTGTCTAGAAAAATTTTCGTGACTGCATTAAAAAGTTCACTGCAAACCTAACGATTGCCTTCTTCTAGAAACTTCTAGCAACACGGAGACATCCTTCCTTAAAAGTTCAGTTACTAAGTGAAGTAGGAAATGTTTGTAGACATCACGCAAAAATACACAAGTGGCAAAATCATGACATGGGTAAAGCCGAAAACATAAGGCCTTTATATGTCACAAGTCATATGAAAACGTTCTTTGACATTTATAAAATATTGCAAAACCTGAGAGGATAAGAAGGTCCATATCGAGACAAATAACATTTAGTACAATTTACAGTAGAACAAACACCGTATAGTCTCAACAGAGGACTTGATTACTATTTATGTCACAAGCCAAATGATAGCCTTTTGTGTAATTAGTTTTAAACATTTTTCATATCCGTTTATATATGATTCTAACCCCGAAGCATCCAAAATTAAATGGAACAAGACCTATGGTCAAGAACAAGACTCACGGATAAATTTAACTTCGCAGTTATTTCTGGTCGTTTATCGACCTACTGAAAGCAGTGTGACAACTTACATAGAGTCGACTATTCTTCACCCATGAAATAACCGGGCAATTGTGAGTGCGATTTCATGCCTTGTCCACAAATATTTGCTCATCACATATTTTGATATGAGAGCACAGATTCATGCGCGATATCGTGTGTTCTAAACTCGGAGTGCGTTACACTGTGATGCCATTTTGATAGACGAAGTAGAAACTTAAGATAATGAACATGAATTTCAAAAACAAAATTTTACAACCTATCCAAAGTTTAAAAGCTTTTCTGTTGCAATAGATTGTTCCAAACAGCACCAAGTAAGTGTTATGCAGTTCAGTATCGAAATTTTCACCTAGAGCGATGATGCCTCTGTATTTCATAAGTGGGGTCCTAAAATGTATGTAATAAAACAAGGATCAGCCCTATTCTGTGTAAGAATACCACTTAAGACAAAACCATTTGAAAGCCAACATAAACTACAGTTTATATATGAGTGCCATGTCGTGTTAAGTCTTAGAACCAATTTATTTATTTGCTTTCATGTTGTGACAGTACGGTTCCAGTCCTTCAGTGATGTCTGTAGAGGTTGGTTTCGATCAAAAATGGCCGTATTAAATTCATAAGATGTTTGGAGGTTGGTGTGTAATATGTTCAAATGGTTACGTTCACACAAGAAAGAGAGGAGTTCTGAGGAAGTTTAGAGGATACCATCTCAGCAACCAGCCACGTGGACTTAACATAATCACACAATTAGGATAGAGCAAGAGTAAAAAAGCTTATCGGTCGAGAAGAGATAAAAGTAATATCGACGCGAAAAATATTAAGAAGGGATATATCTGAACACACATAAGCATTAATATTAGGATGTGAGGAAGAACAGGATAGTTCATTTTGGAAAACTTCGTATGTGACTGGAGACGTGGTGAGGATAATCATATCGAACGTGAAACAATCCTCCTCTGCTTCAAACGGATGCGGCTCATTGAGTCGGTCTGTCCGTTCTAGCAGCGTCAAAGTTCAAAATACTTCGTGGTGTTAAGTGTATGTAGTCAGATAACGGAGCAGTACGGAGGTAGTACAACCGGAAATATTTATTTTTTCTGTCGTTTTACTCAATATTCGGGGGTTAAAAGTCTGAGTATTTGAAGGCGATCTCGATCTTAATTACGTGCCGCATTTATTGGGAACGATGGGCCTGTAACTGTCAATCAGTATGTTGTAGTCATAATAATTATAGTTTGTTTTCAAATAAGAATATGTGACATAGGGCATTCCAGTTTACAGACGAGATCTGATTGCTATAAATGCTACAGGATTTATCGTAATAAGTTACATAGTTGTGTTGTTATGAGAGATGTTGGCTCTTTAAACAGGGGAATAAGTTTTCATACGTTAGAATAATAATAATCTTAGTAGGGCTCGAATGTTCAGTATATGGGTTGATGTACTTTATTGAGATTGAATTGCAATGGGTGGCTGGTGGTCAATAATGGGTCTAAGTGGAGCCTAGAGCTGTTTATGACGATAAGCAACTAAGCAGTTAAGTAAATCAATGAACGGTCAGTTAAAAACGTTAACCTGGACATATTATTTCTTGTTTCTTGACAGTGTTTACAGATAACAAAGCTAACGGGCTTTTAATGGGTACAACCGTGATTTTTTCTGAAATATCAGAAGTGGTAATGATAGTGTGAGACGAAGCCAAGTGTTTCATAAATGTGATTTAAGTGGTATGTCACAAGGATGCTGTTTTTCACCTAAACAACTACTATTATTTCACCTCCTCAGAACTGTTCAGTCACAGATCGCGCGGTGAAACTATTTAATGTTTGTAAAAAGTAGCCACGCCTGTTCAAAGACGATAATCCATGGTTGCTTACACGATTAGCGAGCCTTTAGTTGAAACCATCTGCTGAAGAATGCAGTGTCACTTTGATTGAGAAAGCATTTTAAGTAGGACAAACTAAGAGCCGAAAATACGAGAGCTCACATGTCTCCTCTCTTTGACGTCTGATTGTTTGAGGGTCTCTTCGTGGAACATAATTATGGGCTTAAGGTGGAAGCGCTTTGCTGGATTAGTCCGGTCCTCTTATCATGCTATTCACCATGACCAGGTAACCTTTGCTGTAAGGGGGAACTCTTGCTTTTCTGTAGTAGGAAGGAATACTAATTTACATCTTAGCACTCCGGTTCACAAACTGCTGTGACTCCTTCACTGTTCGGGTAGTTGCAGATATCCTTAGAGCTGCAGTGAATCTCTACCATTTATAAAAGTTCACTATAATATAATGTCTGTGTAGACGACAGTTTATGAACTAAATTATTTTAAGGGATCCGTTGTGGAATCGGTGATTATCGTACACCTAGGGATAGTTTCTTGTCGTACCTCCGTTAGAATCACAGTCCACCCTCGAGGCTATAGGTTTGTTTTTAAGTCAGAATGGGAGTTCGTCTGTGAACCCCATTAACGCCAGTTTTGCTACTTGGACAAGGAGAGAGAGTCAAGCGTCTACGAGGGTTAAGAAATGGTGGATGCATAGACACTTTCTGATCATAGAAATCTAATTCTTCACAATATAAGAGCGTTTGTAGTACATAAGTCGCGTGAGTTTCATTGGCGAAAGTCTGATGTCGTTGAATAGCAATGTCAGTGTTTAAATACACTAACCCACCCGTTATATGCGAAAGTGAACAATATTTAAAACAGTGATAAAAAAATTATTTAGGAAACAAAGAATAGTTAACCACGATGTCACAATTGTTTTTAAGAATGTTGGTGGTACAGATGATTGTCATGGCTAAGAATTAGAACCGCTACTATCTATTCATTGAATGAAACAAGGACAATATGGCGCGATAAAACAAATAACGCATGATTGTAAATCAATATTTTCTATGTATGAACTCCTGACTGCAACGGTGAAGCACAACTGATAAAAAAACCAAAATGTGCTATGAAATATGTCACTTAAAATATTCGGTCATTATTTAGTTTGAACGAGCAGAACATGATATTAATTAGTCATCAGTTTAGTGAACGTATTCAATTCGTAAAATTAACAGTTCGAATTGATCTAACTAAAAAACGTAACTGAACTACCAAATCATGTATTTTGTTCTTATATAATGAACATGCATAAATTATTATTGTACGACAAGCTTCATCAAAATTGGTTTCACGATTAGAGTGAATTCCAACTCATAATGTACTACTCTGCACTCCACAATATGCTAGTCATGAATGGCTAACAGTGGAGTTTTGAAGCGACCAAACAAAAATCAAGTGGGATCTTCAATGCCACAGTGTTATTACTTTAAAGATGCGACAAGTATTCGGAGTTTGAAAACGGCTTTACCTGTAACACTTATATAATCGAAGTATGCCAACCCAGTCAAATCAGAAGTCAGGGGTGATGAGGTTCGAAGATGCGTTTGAAGGGCTATCGGTATCTCGGAAAGCATTTAATTTAAGTTGGCTAACGGTTGTAGGCGATGAGTGGCACGTGAATGCATGAATTAGGGCCTTCATCTAGGGTGTGTCTAGTAAGGTCAGCATCAAACATCGAAGACTTATAAAACGACTTATTTTGGAGACTCATTCTGGGCGACAACACTTACTTTATCACTCCGATATGTTAACTTAAATGCAACCGTCATAAGGTGCTGAAATGGCATATTTTAATCCCATTTTCTCCATCTTTTGATAAACATAACCTTAATAATTCACATGATCTCTAATTAGAATTAGTGCCACTAGAGCAATGAATACGAAGCCATTGTATTACAATCAGCATACAAAAATTTAAACAGAAAGTCTTTTGTAGTCTAGATGAGCGGCGCACCCACTTATACTCAGTACGTAAGAACCCATAAGCAACTATCCAATTAATTAGGAATTCTGCAGTCGGACGTTGGGAGTACTCTCTTTTTATGATGTCTAATAGCCCGGAAGAAAAAGTTAACAACAAGACACGAGAGAAGATAAACTTACTGATATGCAGTAGTTATAATGATATTGGGTATTGTTTCTTTGATCGTGAAAAGGTACACCACTCTTCACACCTGTCTTTTCAATAGACGACATATACTCCCTGAGACTAAACAGAATACAAGAAAATATAACTTACATGTTAGATGAGGAAATCTCAGCAGTTAAACAAACTTTCAGAATAAGATTTTGTGGAATTCACTGTTGGATCAGTAGTAGTTACAGTCTCAACTGACTCCCTTGAAGAGTGTAGAACGATTTGGGTCTGAAAAAGCTGAAGAACACACTACTAGTACAACTCGTTACCGGTTAATGTATATTTATATCCATCGTCCCAAACTGAAAAAAAACGATAACTGTACACGATAAAGAAAATTTTAGAATGATGGATAGAAATGTTGACGACTTTATCAATAATCCTAAATTGTGAAGTTTGTCATATTTGTTTTATTGAATAATCCTATCAAAATAGTGTTAGTAACGCCTCAGAATACATTTGATTTTCATATGGCTTTGGACGCGTGCAAAATGTTGAAAACTACATTCGAGACATTGCAAAAGATCGTCGATGCAGATTTGATGAGAACTTTCTTGATTACGATAACTTAAGATCTGGATATGTCACCGGTAATATAGTATAAACATGAATCCATTAGTTCCAGGAAACCAATTCTTAAGAATCTTAAGAAATCTAATCGGCGTCCCACTTGACATTTCACAGGAAAAACTTATTTTAAAAAAATACGGAATTGATGGGAACCGATATATTAACTGGAGGAAATTTGTTCGTGAAATAGAAGGTAAATATAATGAAAATGATTTTAGTGTAACACCGGAATCCAAGGTTCTCCAAACAATCGAGTAATTTATTTATTACTTTTAACCGATTAGATCTCCGATCGTGGGCACAAAATCACGGCATAAGCTGTACAATGATGAAAAACTGGAGTATATAAAACCACTGCTTTCCAGAATCAATCAATTTATCTCTAACCAAGGTTATATAATACGCCAATGTTATAAACAGTATGATGTTCATAACTTAGGTGAAGTGACCGAAAGCCAAGTCTGTTAATTTTCATAACTTTTTAACAAATTTTTGCAGTTTTTCAGAGGGTTTCCTGGTCCGAAGGATATCAGTGATGAAGAAATGATGTCACTCGTTCAGCGTTATAAATCACTAACTAATGCTGGTTTTGTAGATTATCTGGCTTTTGAAAAAGACCTTGAAACGATTGACTCACACGAAAAGGCTTTGGAAGATAACACGAAACTTGTAGTAAGTCTTGGTAAATATATTAGGCCTATATTAATTACATTTTATGCTACATACCAGTGAGTACTAAAATTGTATTTATAACGTCTTGTCGCCTAATGTAAGCCATTTATTCGGAGCGAATAAACAGCTGAATTAGGTCGACATAAGTCCAAATAGTATAAATAAACCAATGCAGAATATTTTCGGCACAATCAAATTCTAATAGGCCTAAATACTTCAATGTCAAGTGATTCTTGGTCAAGTTAAATTTGTATGACTTGTTACTGTATTAATTTGTTTGTCAGAGTGTGGGTATGGAAAATGTTTGCATTTGTAAAATCAAGTAAGTGTGTGTAGATTGTGTGGAAAATTGACCACTCTAAGCAACAATGCAAGCATGCTCGGCATGCGATTCTCCCCCTCGAAATGCAAAATGTTGCTTCAGGATTGGGTTGCATTGACACCCGAACTAATAATAGGGAGTGAAGTAATTGAGCGTGTCGATCGCTTCACTTGTCTTGGAAGTCTCATCAGCCCTTGCGGTCTGGTGTGACGAAATCTCAGCACGGATACAGAAGGCTCGACTAGCTTTTACCAACTTGCGTCATTTATGGCGTAGGCGAGATATCCGTCTATCAGCCAAAGGACGGGTTTACTGCACAGCAGTTCGTTTCGTCCTACTTTATGGCAGTGAAACATGGCCGGTGAGAGTAGAGGATATTCGTAGGTTACTAGTATTTGATCATAGGTGTCTTCGAAACATTGCTCGTATATCCTGGGACCATCGAGTAAGTAATGCAGTTGTTAGGAAACGTGTACTAGGTAATGACAACAAATCAATTGATTTATTAGTGAAACTTCATCAGTAGAGATGGCTGGGATATGTGTTACGTATGCCCAACGACCGACTGCCTCGACGTGCGATGTTCAGTGGTACAGGAATAGGTTGGAAGAAAGCTAGGGGAGGCCAGGTCAAAACATGGCACAAGTTCATGAAATCACTGACAAGTGGTCTGAGTCATGTCGGTAGGTGTAGACTACCTGGTTGGGGACCGTGAGATGATAGCAACCGATGGTTAGAGACCCTGAATGACATGGCTCAAAATCGTTTGCAATGGCGCAGGTGTATACACTCTTTGTGTTCTCCCAAATTTTGATCTCCTTATTCCTCCTTGTCTCTTTTTTTCTCTACGTTCTACGTTGTTACTAACTGACTGACTGTGTGGAAAATAACTAAAGTCAGATATGGTTGTGTGGTGTGCGTTACTAATGTACACATAAGTAATAAATAACGATAGTCAGGAATAGAATGTATTTCAGTAGAAGATCGAGAAGGAAAGAACGAGAACGGAAGGCAGTTGGCATAAAAATGCAGAAACAATGAAATCTGAGACGATGGAATTGAGACAATGAATTGATATTTTGCAAATTGAAGATTTACTGTATGGTTCTCAGATTTTAGTGAAATATTCTGTAATCTCGTGTTCAGATACATTCGGTTGTCACCACTCATGTTCATATTCACTACTCTTGTATGGATCAATAATCCAGGTTGGATGAATATTCAGACCTTCTTTCCGATTGAGGGTAGAAGAATTTAGCATTACATGAAACGCTTTGGATACTCGCCTCTATATCTGCAAAGGCTTTTCTGATTTATTTTGGTATTTTTAATGTCGATTTAGTGACTATTGCAAAAAGCATGTGCTGCTATCGCTGATTAACCTGTAAAATGTCCAATTATGTAGGATTATCAGGTCTTTTTGTGTACCTCAAGTGTTCCTTGGCAAGTGTTGAGATCTCGCGGAAAGACTCTTTAACATAGAACGCACCGAAATCAACACAACCTTACCTGTATACATAATTTTGTATCTAAAGCTAGTCATATATCGAAAACCGACACATTGATTTTAAGTCTGCATATCCATCCAATGCAAAAGCTTTGCTAGTGCTGAATCTTTACAAAAAAGCGATCAATATCATTACTTCAGAAGAAAATGAACTAAAATAAAACTAAATTATAATAAACATCTTACATCCTAATAAGTTTCCTAACAATATTATTGAAAAATATCTTAAAACAAAACTGTCTATCTGTAAATAACAGTCCTAATGAAAGATTTTGAATTGATACTACGGTTTTTCTTTACCGCTAAGGTACGACAAAAGCATTATATGCTAAATTAAATTACGAGACAACTAACACACTAATAAACGCTTTAGTTAGAGTAAAAATAAAGTTTTGTCCACTTCTACACAAAACTGTGTCTACAGATTAGAAATACAATTATTCTGCTCATTGGCGTGTAACAAAAAAACATTTTTATTATTAACTTTCCACCCTATGTTGAATTTATTTGAAGCTATCAATTTCAACCTTGGTATTGATACCTATGAAATCTCAAGTTTGTGTTCTTTAGCACATAACTTTTGGAGTAAAGACTTCATAATCAATGTTTTACTTTGATAGTTGTATTACTTAGTTAATATAAATAATTTCAACCTTAAAGCCCATCCATCTGGTCTATACTGCCTCAGTTGTTCGCAAATGCGCATTATGGAATCTAGGTAAATTAAAGTCTACAAAATATGCCAAAATGCTACATTTGACACTGATAATAACTTTTCAAAAGCCATGATGGGATACTGTGTAAATACATACAACTATTGAGTCAAAACTTTGAGTGCAATTGTTAAATACAAACCTCAAACCCTTGGCCCCAGTAATAGTATTGTAGTTTAACGAAATAGGGATTATGAGTAACTAACTTAAGTTTGTCTCTTATGCAAACCAAAAAAACTGGACTTCTGGAAATTAATACATCTTTTGTGAATGAATAACAACTAAGTCATCATTTGCTGTGATGCGAACCGAAATCTGTAAAAATAATTTCGAAATATTACGTCAAATGTTTAAAAACGGAACGATAGTAAACGTTTGTTTCAAACATAACATGGTTTCACGAACTCGGTGTTTCATAACTTGAAGGATTATAAATTTTTACCAGTTAAGGTACTCATAACAGCTGAAATAGGTATCTAAAACGGTGCATAATTTTAATGCAAAATTTGTCCTACTGAAGAGAATGTATCTTGTCTATATCTGGTTTAAAATCTCAAGCGTTGTCTTTATTTTAGACTTATCCGATTTACGAATTAATGGTTTGTTGCTGGTATTTATTAATTATATTCTCCTTTGTCTATACTCAACAAAATATGATAACTTTAAGGAATGACTTTTTGTATCAAGTTTGTTGTTAATAATATTAGTGGAATCCTAACATATTATTATGACTTTAAATTGGAAATGAACTTGGATCATGTATATGTGGCTGAATAATACTGTTTTATGTATCATACTGTGCATTTAAATTTTCATCCTTATGTAGAAAGACAGAGATATTGATCGTATCTCCCAGAAAGATAATTTATTAATTCCATCACAACATATGATTGTTGACCGCATAAAATGTACTATTCGGAAACGTGGTATACGTGTTATGGACTTTTTTGTGGATTATGATAAGTTAAAACATGATGAAGTAACGGAACATCAGTTCACATGTGCTCTCCTATCATCTGTTGGTAAGGAAGCTAAATTAAGTCGCGAGGAGGTTCAAATGCTTGCAAACTACTACCGTTCAATAACAAACCCTCAGTTCATTAATTATCGCGAATTTTGTAGAGAAATTGACTCACGTAAGTATGTAAAGAATGATTGTTTTTTGTGAAGATATTTTAATGCGCCTATAAAAAGTTTACTTACAGAAAGAACGATGTACACATTGTTAAAAACCTTTTGTTACTGTGGAAAAGTTATGGAGTGGACAAGAACAACCGTTTTAAGATATATTTACATGTCTGATAATTTATAGCGAACCAATCTATCTCACTTACCAAAGCTTTATTGAGTGAAATAAAAGAAAAATTTCCTGAAGTAACAATATTCAATGCTAGATTGAAGCATGATTTAATAAGAAACGTAGAATTTAGTGTACGAACCACATTCTATCTTCGTGAGACAGCATTTGTCTCAATGTTACTCGTCCAGGACTATTAATCGGACATGTTATCCCACTATCGGATTACTATCTCATTCTAGTGAAGAAAAATGATTTTATTTATCCACTATACTTGGCTGATTGTGATAATTAGGAGTACTATAGTATAAACTAAGAATTCTGGAAATAACGCAATTGGATCAAAAAGTGCTATGTAGGCACGAACGAATGTACTGTATTTGGAATTCAAAATCAAGCATCCAACAAGTACAAAGGAATCATTATTTCATTCAAACAACACACTGATTCATGACTAATGATGATTTCTTTCCACCGAAAACTTCCTTGAATGTTCAAGTTCTGGACATTGGTTCAAAAAGTTTTATTTTATACTTTTTACTACTGAGATATTATAAGTAGTTGGAAATTTAAAGATCACTGAGGTTCACAAAAACTCGTATGATTGAGCATCTTGATATCTATAGACTTTTATCAGGATGTAAAACTATTTTCATTTCCCCTACACAATTTATCCTATGTTCTCCTCTTTTGCGATGGGAGATTTTCCTTCGGTCGTCTTATTGAATTCTTGTAAATAATGGTTTTTATGTTTTGACATTACCAACCAATGAACTGACTAGGACGGCTTAGAACTTTTAAATACATACGTAGGTTGGTTAACAAGGATAACAGTTGATGTGATGAGTTCTACATTCTTTCCACGTTATTGGAGCTTTCTCAAGTAAGTACTTGAGGATTTATGAACTTTCTAGCTTTTGTAGAGTTACTGAATTGTATCTCCCATATCGTTTTTTCGTACAATCTAAACAATCCACAACAGTATTATATGTTTCATAAAGAATTTTGGTGATCAATTTCTGTTCATGAAGCAGCGAATCATACGATGTTACGTATAAACTGAAGAGAATATTAAGCACGATTAGTCTTTAGTATACGAATATCATCATCCTTTTATAAAAAATGACGTACACATATCCCATACCTTTTAACTGAGTAATTCTTCATCTGAATGTCCTAATCGAGGTTGTTAGCTTTCCGTATTAGCCTACCTTGCTCATAGAACAATACCACCATAGGTTTTACAGTAATTAGGTTACTTTCCCTTGACTTGATCTTTCTTTACTACGGTTCCATAGATGGATTGCTATCATACTTCCCTATGTGTTAATAATTATTTTAATAACGACTGATTATCAGATTTAAAATAATATTTAATTCGACCTCTCTAATTCAGTCATTGTGTTGCATCTTTTGTTTGGTATCATTCACATTATTCTTATGACTTACAGTCATATATTCAGTGGTATTTCGTAAGAATATTCGACTCATAAATTCGTTAATCAAAGTGCTTAAATTGAACAATTCAGCTGCTTTTAAAATGGGAATTTCTGTCTTTGTGAAACTATAGAAACTCGAAATTTACTGTTAATTCTTATAATTATGAGTATCAGTTTTCCTATAATTTACGGAACTTACCTATGAAATCACTTATATTGTTTCACATTAAAATCCGTCTTTAAGTTTTTTTAAGTAACTAGTTATTTCATCTACCCTTTTGTTTTTCACAGCTTTTCAGACGCTGTATTTGGAGAAGGATCCGTTAAAGCCAATTACCATTCCAGCTAGAGGTGCACTTTCACAGGTAAGCAGAATGGCGATATCGTCTGAAATTTCGGGTATTTTGGATTGTCTTAAATTGTCAGTGAACCTATAGTGTTAAATCTGCACACAACTAGTGTGAAATTGTCTTAAATAGAGTAAAAGTAGATTCTGTAGTCACCCAATGTTTCCTGATTGTGCTTTGTTAACTGAAAATTGTTAACATACCTACTGATTAGGTCTATATTATTCACCAGGGAAATTATCCTATAAAATATATAAAGTCCTTCAGGAAGCCTATACACGTAGTTGTTGGCCTTAAGCTAGGATGAAATGTGCCCTACAACACCTTTTTAAGGATAGTTATGTGTGAAAAAGTAGCCTGTAATATAAAAACTCAGAGCAGACTATACTGTCAATCAGGTTTGAATAGTGACTGTTTTCTAACCAATACCAATCAACGCAAAGAAAAAATGGTTGACTAAACTATTGATTACTTATCAGTGAGATGATTGTTTATCTTACACAAATGCTCAAAATAAAATGGCACAAGTGATAACTATTTAGCGTATAAAATACTTAGTTAACTATAAATAGATGGTAATTAAGTAGTCGAGAAGTGGTTTACCTTGGTTATAACGTCACTAACGTTTACAATATAATGCATAACCATGATAAGAAAGACGTTCGTTTATTCAACCAGGAAACAACTTTTAGCTAGGACAGTCTCACTGCTAATGCTCCAGGTAGGATATTCAACCTAAGGTAATGTGACTTGAGTTCAAGTGTGTCAAATATGTTTTCTGACCACAGACACCATCTTACAGACTGTGTTTACTTAAAGAAGTGATCAGTAATTAATCACTCAGTTTTCAATACAATTTTGTGAAGAATACTTGATAGAGCAACTTGATTGGTGAAAAGTGAACATCAACAATGAATTGTAATTTCAGCTTTTATATATCCTGATTTATTGATAAAATTAAATCAATCGAGAACAGGATTTTCGGAATAACATGAATTCATCATATTTCAAAGCTTTTCATCAGCTGCAAACGGCCTAAATTTACATTAGTAATATTATTATAAACAGTTTTACATACTGTAATCAATGAAGTTTAGTTCGAAATGACATAAGAAACAAAAAGAGGTAACAAAATACTTAACATTGTAATATTTGTCCGGATTTTGGGATAAGTAAGGTAATAACGTTATGATATTCACTTATATAAACAACTGAAAATGGAGTACACTGAATATAAAACTTTATACTGGGGATACACACTAAGAATTATACATATTTTGATCAGTTATTTATACTATTCAGTTGTATCGCCGTTATCTGTTCTACCGAACCTAAAGATGACATTGTCTTAAGCTCTTTTTACATTGTGAGATTGATTAGAAAGATCCAATTTGAATTCGATTACTTAAGGAATCTGTTTAGTCATTTGAAATTATAGATTTCTTTATCTAATCGAAAATGTCATATTTTGTTGAGTCCTAGTGGAAGTTTGATTTGACTTTTGCAAACTTAAACGGGAAATATTTAGCATGTTCTATAAAACTTGCAAAGTTGGAATTGTTACAAATTATATAACCCTTTTGGCAATATTTCAACAGCATCTATGCGTATTAAGCCAAGAAGATGAAGATCGTGTATCTAAACTAATCGAAGAAATCGGACGTCAAGTTCGTGAAAAAAGAATATTAACATATCCATATTTTCAGGACTATGATATGGTAAGCCAGTTTTTAATTACTGTAAAGACCTTCACCCATTAATTCTTACAAATTTTTAATACAAAGATGACCCGCTACAAACGGATACTGATTTAATAACCGATTAAAAAGGGTTACTTTATACTATTCGAGAAATATTTAGCTGACCTTACTGTTGATATTGTCTCGGGATGTAAAACAGAATCCTTGCGTTTTATTGAGTTTATCCATGTTTTTATTATTTTAATCGAGATAAATAATCTGAATGTAACTCAATATCTTCTTCACAAGCTCGTATAGTGCCGAAATTTTGAATTAATAATCGCATCACTATCGAATTTCAAAGATTATAAATGTATTTTAACCTCATAGTCTAATTGCTTGAAATTATTCATGAAGTATATTACACTTCTATTTGGTTTATTTAAATCAATTTTGTCATGCTTCATCTCGCTTTAAGAAGTGTAGTAATCTTTTACTAATCAAAACCCGTTTTGATTGATAAATGAACTAGATATTTCTATATTCGTAATTAATTATATCACTTTACTATATGATCATATCTCTACATTTCTTCTAGCTATATTTATTACTCTCCAGTATTCTTCTGGGATCCCGGATAATATGAGGGTTATCTTGATCTTAGACTAAAGAAATATTAAGCTAACAAGCACTCTTTACTTCAATGATAGTGTCAAGATATCTTCCACAAATATGAGTCATTAAGGAAAGTTTATTGGTGAATCAGTCAAATATAAAACCTAAGAATTTTTCATCTGAAGAAAATTTCTGTTTGCATCCGTGATCACTTTTCGTGATTCTTGCGAAAATCAAGGGCTTTTCCCTTGGGTTTAAGTGCATATTCCTATTTTGGCTGATAAAACGAATCTTTTATACTAAACAAACTGTATAGTTGACTATTAATATAGTTCAAGCAAATAAACCTTTACTCCGTTCAGATATTTAACCATCAATTTCAACTTGAAGTAACTAGTATAAACATTGTCAAGTTTTCCAATAAAAAATCTTTTTCGTGAAACCATTTTTCTAGGGATCATGTTTTTCGAGAAGTATTACTAATACACAATTTGAAAGAGTATTATACTTTCTTGGTTTGAATCTGAGTAAGGAAGATTGTCGTCGTTTATGTAGAAAATTCACCAATCCTACAAATGGTTGTATTAATTATGGAGCATTCTGCGAAAAGGTAGATGACTGGTTTACCGCTGCGGCCCCTGTCAAATTCGATGAAGGTAATCCAGGAGATGTGAATTTTGAAGTATCAAACAAGGTTATAACAAAACGCACACCTGAAATAGGTGATACACGCTGTGGTAAAAGTGTAGTTCACCGAAATTGGCACTCAACAGTAATGCCAGTAATTATATCAGTTGGAGATCAATGGCCTGTTGAGGTTTTATTAAACCGTGTCCGACATTTGGTTCTAGTTAACCGAATACCATTAAAACCTGGGTTTCATGATTTCGATCATTTACGTAGTGGTTATGTTACACGATCTCAGTTTGAACGTTGTTTAACCGCCGCAGGGCTAACGCGTTTACACCTGCACGATCTTACACCGGCACAAGTAAACATCTTGGCAGACAGATACGTGTCTTCAACTGATACCAACATGGTGAACTGGATAAAATTTGTTAATGATGTAGAAACAGGTAAATTTAAGTCTTCAGATTTATGTATTTAATTTGATTATTTATTCATAATCTTTTTATTCCTGCTATATGGAACGTGAATTTCGCGTATTATGTTTAATATTGGTCTACTAACGATATGATGATAGGCGAAGATTCATGAATATTATATACAATAAATACTAATTTGATTTTGACTCTTTAATAACAGATTTATACATTAGGAGACAAGAACATAGTGAACTATTCACTTTTCTGCAATAGTTAAATGTATGCAAACCACTCATGACATGTACTTGTTCATCAGTTGTTTTACAACATTATGTGCATAAAATCATTCTCTAAACAATAGCAATATTAAGATTCACAAGTTATCTACGCAATTCATTCCTAATGAGGATCGTGGTTCCACTAAATGTTCAATAGGATAACTGTCTGTGATAGATAGGGCGGCCAATGATTTAAACGATTTACGTGCTATTGATATATAAAATTGATCGTCTGTAACACGTAATCACATCTTGAAAATGTAGTGTTTAGTACTAATTCAAGCTCACATGGGTTATTCTGTTTTCCGGCAGACCAATTTATTTATTTTTCATGAGTCAAATTTTGACCTTATCAATTAGTTACTCGTTAAGCTTGACCATTTTTATATGAGCGTATATGTGAGCATCACTTACCCTATTCATCAAACGTCCTTAGCCTATTTTTGCCTGGCCATAAATATCGAGTCGAATTCTGTCAAACGAAGTTAGCACACTTGCCTTTTCCGGTCAGCTTCTCCGTTTCACTTTATTTCCTCGGTTCTCACTTGTGATGTCTGTTTAGGTAAACAAAAAAAAATCATCCAACTCCATCCGTATTTGGCTTCTTATTACCACCGTCACACAAACGGGTAAGCCAAGGTGTAACATACATAGTTAAATGGAAGATTTATATTCATGTACTGTTCATTCGTTCTTTTAAGTTGGAGTCTAATCAACGGAGCACTAAAAGGAGTAATCATGTAACTTAGTCATTTAGCTATACCTGTTGGTTATATATGTTTCATTGTAGGATATTGAAAACATGTAATCAGATAGTAAGTTACTGATTAACTGATATTAGATAATGCTCAGTTCAATTCACACAAGTCTGACTGTAAGTAAATCACATAGAAAAATAATATTTTCATATAAAATTTTGATTTATTTCCTGGGTCAAATAAATTCTTTGTATTTTCATTAAGCTTCGTCCAATTTGGTGCCCAAGTACAAAGCATTAGCAGTATATGAACTTGGCAATGATTGTCAAGTGAGAAAAATTATGGTTGTTAATTATTACTGGTGGCCGGTTAGAGGCCCAAAACTTTATCACTGTGATTTTGTTGCATTTAATCCTTATTTTCTCCAGAGCAAGTTAATTATAATTTTCTGATATAAATCACTTTGATTTATATGAGTCATACAAAACTCATAATTCATTTCTTGAAAGAAAATACATCTTGCTCATTGCTCAGCTGTGTTTCTCACACAAACGTTTCATGTACAGAAGTCAGATAAATATAAAAATAGGAACATTATTATAGATAACTCATTAGGTGTTTGAATAAAAAATCACTTGATTCGAGCCCAATGTTAACAACACTGGGATTCAGGTACTTTTAGGTGACGAGTCCTTAATGAGACGAAATATTCCACCTGGAATCCCCTACCATTCACAGACTATATGTATCAAAAACTTTTCGTGGTGTTCCCAATACTACCCATTTCGTGGGTTAAGTTAACAAACTAACGACTTTTAGATAAAGCAGAAAAAGTTACTGTTTACAGTAAAAAACTCCATATACTCCTCCAAGTAAGAATTATGTAGTCAAATTTGATTACTAGAAGCCTTAGTTTCTGGTAGCCCAAGTATTCCTGCCGAATTAAGGCCAATAATTAACTGATTACTGTTGATACTGCATTTTCTTAGTTCACGTAAAGTCAATTTCTCCCTACTAAAATGTGACAGAGTTATTTGGATTATTATACAAACTAGGTATTCCAGAAATAACGCAATCTAGACAACGAGAACTAGGTCAGCACGAACGAATGTTTCGTATTTGGAATTCGAAACCAGACAGTCATCAAGTACAAAGGAATGATTAGTTCATACAAGTACCACATAAAAGTCAGTCCTTAAAAAATAGGTTCCTCAGTTTACTGATATTTCTGTTTCTAAACTATGCTGCTCGACTCATTCCAAACAAATGTTTGCGCCTTTCTGGTGGATTCAGGGCTTATTAGTTTTAGTGATCACATAATTTTGTAATTCTAAGTGAAAACTACTTTCCCCTGGAGGCATTCTAACGGAGCAGCTCAACTTTTAGAATGGTATATTTGTAAAGAATCCACTAACAAAATTACATATCATGGATAATTTGTTTTTTTTTCATCTCTTTTCATACGGTCAGTGTTTACTCTACCGGGGTTGGAAAAACAACCACTCACTCGTGTGCTACCACAAGAAACATTTGTCCAACCGAAACCAGGTACAGCAGATTGGTTATCAGTAACTGAAGAGATGAAACAGAATTATGAAAATGGTATGGGAGTTTTAAGACAAAAAGTAAATGAACGTCGGTTGGATTTAACTCCAGATTTTGCGGCTTTTGATTTGTAAGTGTTTTGTCGCTTTGTTGTATACACGTTATTTATAACTGTTATCCTACTCCAAGATATTATTCACTGTAACCACTTTGATTCAGTATAAACTATTGTATGCTTTGTTTTTGATGTATCAATATGCTTCCAGAGGAAAGCTGTCTGTAAGCTAATTAATTAGATATTGTTTGTTAAAAAGTCTCTTTATCATTAGTTTCTGAAACAGCATATTACATTTATTGACGTGGGAAAAGGGGTTAAATCAAAGAAATTACAACCTTAAAAGTTAATCTTGTGAGAAGGGTTGATGTTCATGATATAAATCTCAGTAAATTTATTAATGCTGATTAAATCAGTAATATAGAAATCAACTTTGTAGATTTCTTATTACCCTGATAAATAAGATTTTACTGCCAACAGTAAACAGTGGATAATTTTATTTAGGCAAAAAACATCATGAACGAATGATTATATTTCCAAGTCATGTAGTGAATAACGTGATTTGAAAATGTTATTTATGGAAGTGTTTTGGTTTTGGTTTCTTCTTGAGTTATTGTTAAGTAACTTTGTATTTGGTCTCTGTTTTTTTCACAACACTAAGGTATTCGTTAGTTTATTAGTTCAGAATAGAGTTTTCACGCTAAAAATTTACGTATAGTAATTACAGTATGAGGTATTTTTAATCTCACTTATCAGTGAATGGCATTATCTCGACTGCCATTTCTTTATTGTCACTATTTGCAGTAACATTTAAAGTCCTTCGTTAAATCCAAGTAGAAACACGAAGTCCGTAAATCATAATTTGAAATCCTATTTATTATGAAGCGGTTTTTCAGTAATTATGACTATAACATAAAAATAATTATATTTATATTCACCTAAATTTATGTCACAAATCAGGTGATCAACGATTTTACCATATTTCTGATCGAAATGAGTTTGATAAGTCTATCTTCACATTTCCCAAGTCAAATGCTTCCATAATTTGTGAATAATCCAGTTTCATTTACCCGTTCTAGAGTAGCACGTATATTGGTAAGACAGATAAAGTTTTATCTAAGAAAATCTCCAAATCACACACCTTCGCCATGTTTGATTTGTTTCAAAAAGTATTCAACAATAATTTGAATATCCTACCGTCAAACGATTCTTATTGACAGGCGGATATGGGTCAATTGCATAAAACAAGTGGGTTGTAAAACATCATATCAAAATGATATTCAATAGTTAGTGAAAAGACGCTCTGTCTAAACCTCAGCGCTGTAAAACTTCATATTAATTATTAAGTAGGTCAACTAGATTCTCAGATTTACAGTTTGAAACATATTTATGAGATAACACAACTGAGGTAATAAGAATAACAAGTTGTTACTTGATTCGAAAAAAACTGAATAAAGGACTAAGTTTTGGATGAATTGTCTAGGTAAATGAATAGACGGTAAACCCCAAAAATTTGTTTTCCCATTCAATGCTTGCCTTCATTAATACCGACCTGTTTGATGTTCGGCCTTTTAAACTAGCCCTTTTTCTCACGCTCTAATGAAAGGATATCCTTATTATTGCAATTAATCTGATTTTGAAGTTTTTTGTTGCTGGTAGTCAATCGAATCTTTTGTCTGCAACATTCCGAAGTATTTACATCATTTTTCATCAATTTGAATCCAGTTATACTATGTAAATTCTGTTGTTCACTTCTGTGTATTGTGATTTGTTTTCATATTTAACCCAGTTTACATCGTGGAATAGTGACAACAAGTAATTTCCGTCAACTAATAAGTATGTATAGTTTTTGTTTGTCGCCGGCAGAAATTGATGCCATCATATCACGTTATGCAATGACGATGGGTTTAATTATTTGGACTTTCTAAATCACCTCTGTCCGATAAAATTAGAAGAAAACGAATATAAATATCCAGAACGCTTAGCTACATCTCAGAGAATAAATAAGCTGAGTAAAGAAAAAACGGAAATAGAACCGGTAATGGGAGATGCTGAAGGTATTATGGATACACTGAAAGCAGAGGTATATTTCCAGTTTTAGATAAACTTGAGTGCATAAACTACTTAATGAGATATTCGAAAATTAGATTTGTGTAATATATCATATCAATTTCCATTGTTTTTACCTAAACCTGTCCGTATATTTGCCTTGGTGCTCTGATTTGTTAAAAGTTTGTCAGGGTCAGTGTTTATCATCGCTAAATAAATTCATACATATTACCATTATAAAGCTTCTTCCAGGGATTTTTAATTCATCACCGTCATCTAGTAGAGGTGCATCCGATAAAATTATCAAACTGAGATCAGGTAATTCAGTTTAAATACGGATAGATGGACAGCGATATATTCCCACAAGAAATGAAGAAACCTAGTCCGTAAAATCTTTGTACAGAGAAACTGTAGGATCTGAAAGAAATGAATGATATATGTATCTATTGCATTCATTATCTACAATGAGGACTTAATTTTTAATCAATTCTAATGCCTAGCTAGCATGGTGATCGAGAATTCGGTGATGTTTCTCTAAATTGCTAAATGTTTCAATTCAGTCACCCAAGCAGAAACACATCTTTCAAAGAATAATACAATATCTTAAACCTTATGGTTTTTGTGTCAGATGAATTTGTGCCTAAGGCTTTACAGATAAAGTTTATAAACTCAGTGGCACCTAACTCATATCATTGGATTGATGCAATTAGCAGAAAATAAACGCAAATAAATATGAATGCCAACATATAAGTAATCTCAAATTGGCTCTTAGAATTTAATTTAGCAAAATGAACTGTAGCTACATTGAATGGAAAGATTATCAATCACATAATAAATAGTCTATGATAAAAGGGTTTAGTCAAATTACAAATAAGAATCATGGTGTTGCAGAGTAGTTTTATCAAAGAAAACCTAGCCAATACTGTAGTGTACAGAAATATGGGGTTAAACTATTTTAAGAAATATTAAGCTTATTCTATAGTTGTTTCGCACATGTACACCTCCCGTTCTTTCACTTTTTCTTGTTCATTACCGTTATTCCTTTAAATCATTTCGTTTCATTCTCATAAGACGACTTGAAAAATACTTCGATAAGATAGTTAAACATACTGTTGTCGAAATATATATGGCAGTAAAAATATTATCAGTGGTGTAACATCTCAGCTATGCATTTTGTTATATCTACAATCAGTACGTTTGTATCTTTACTTATAACTAATTCGTCGTGCTGTTAAATCTTGTTGTAGGTATACCGCAGAAGTCTGAGATTATCTGATTGGTTTCGCGATCACGATAAACTCAATCATGGATACTTACAAAGAATAACGTTTCGCCGATGTCTAGGGGTTCTCAACTTAAAAATTAATGAGAAAAGTTTAAATATTCTTGAAGACAGGTACTTTTATTTAGTTTCTTTTCGACAAATAACAGATGAGACCAAAAGAAATAATGAAAATATTATACAGTTTAATGGTGTTTTGCATTTAAATAATTCACTTTGTATAAATCAAATTGCATATAGAATCTATTTTCTTGCATTATGTAGTACGTGTGTATGTATTCACGATTGCAGTAAGAATTTTATTTACATAAATGAGTATCATTATTTGGTTGCTAAGGTATTGGGTCGATCACCTTAAATGGTCGACATTGACTCATAAGGTCATGAGTTCGAATACATCTTTACATTACAAGTGTAGTGCAAAGTTTGATATAGGAATTCATACTTTGATATTAAGTAGCATCAGATATCTCAGTAGAGTTTCTATATAAGGGATATATTGTGGCAACTAGTTTGCGAAACCACGTTCTTATAACCTATATCATCAGTGATTCTACTGAAATGAGTACTTTTACAATCTGAAGAGCTTCAGATCCATTTTAAATGTTATTATACTAAATAGAAAAGCAAAATCTAAAATAGAGAACGACAAAGTGGTTTCGTTTCAGGACCGTTTGTTCTGTGAAACATGGTTTTAGCTAATAATGCCTACATTTTTGCTTTTATTTTAAGAAGTAACCCGTCTTTATATTTAACAATGACTAGACATTTGAGAATGTACCAGGTCATTGTGAAGTATGCAGAAATACGGCCACAAATCCTTTAATCGGTTGTTGGGTAGTGAGTTATTTCATCTTATTCACACCTCATAGATAGCCGCTTGTTGATGAAGTAAAAACGACTTGCTGTTGGACATAACAATATGCACTTGGTATAAATATCATACATAATCTAAGGAGATGTTTTAAGCTTTAGTGATAAGTATCTTGGTATTATCTATTAACTTGAATATTATAAGCACTCAATTTATTTCTAGAAATTGGGAAGGCATTTATGATAATAGTAAAAGTTACGCAAATAAATGCACATAAATAATGAGTTGTCTATATCTAATAACATTATTTAATGACCGGGATAATATTAACTTGATGACTACTCTATACGTATAACGGGTTAATAAATGAACTCATATTTAAGACAATTCAAAGTATTCAATGAAAAGAATAAACAACGCACATTACCGATTTCAGCTACAACATATTAAAAGATCAGTTAAATGATGTTACATAACTTTTTTTAAAAAGATTCTATTCAAAGCATTCCGAATATCGATTCTTAGGTTACGCATATTAAACAAGAATTAGGTCCTTAGAAGCAATCAAAACTTATACTCGAAGTTTAAGAACACGACAAAAAGTGGTGTTGTTTAAGTTATTATGATTTATAGTGAGGTGAAACAACACACTAATCAAATCTATAGTATTCCAGAATAACTAGTACCTATACGATTAATTACTATAATCCAATTGATTTGTATACTTGATTAACTTGAAGTTATATGAGATGTTTTGGACAAAAATCCAAAATCGGTGATTATAAAGAAGCCGCAATATAACACTTTGTCTGTAGGCTGATTTAATTTTACTGATATATTCTCACTAGGTATTGAGATAGATAAAAGAAAAGCATGGTTAATTTCGTAAAAACATAACTCATTAGTATCATTTACTATTCAATTTGGTGGTGTATATTAGATATTTTTAAAATATCTTAGGAATGGTATCATTTGAATTATAAAATGCTATTTCGATTGGTAAACTACAGTTTAATGTGTAGAATGATAAATTAAACAGAAACATTCAAACATTAATTGCTACATTCAACTGTTTTAAAAGAAGGTTTGTTTAAAGTTTCATTCATAATCAAACAGAATAATTTGTATTTTTAGTTAGTAATTAGGTAAAAAATAACCATCTACTAAGTGTGTAACCAGTAGAATAACAAATACATCAGTTATTTTTTATTCAAGTGCAATGGATTTATTAGTGTCTCGGCTAGTAGTAATATGAAATTCCCAACCATGGTTATCTAATGCTACACATGCCATGTTTAAGAGAGTGATACTACTATTGAAAGTTTTTCTTGTAGCAGCCATAATATAATATGTGATTTACGAGCATCGTATTTTATTTATTTTTGCAGATATAAAGGTTCAATGCCTGATACAGTAGACTGGCGGGCATTTGTTAATGATGTTGAGACTGTATTTCAAACACCAAACTTAGAGAAAGATCCATTAATTGAACCTGGTACATATAAACCTGATTCATCAGTTGCCCAGAACCACTTGACAGCTGAATTAGCTAAATCTGCTGACAAGGCTATATTTAAGATAGCAGCTAAAGTAAGTTATTAAAACAGTAAAGATAACTTTTGATGGATCATATCATGTTGATTCACTGATACTGAATAATGCTAATCACTGTATTTAATACCATAAATTTTGGCACAGTAAAGAATTCTCAGCACTAACTGTTTAATATTACCACAAATATCTCTGTAATATGTGTTTAAATTACAATTATTTAAAACACAAAAAAACCGTTTTAACATTTATTATTAATTATACTTGTCTACAGGTTTAGCTGCTACAACTATTTTTCCATCCATCATTTGTAAGGTCAAGAACCTTCCAATATATTTGTCTTTGACTTCGTCAAAGTATAATGTGTCAAGAATTTCAGGATCTCTGTTTGAGTTTTTCAGCATTTAGTACTGCAAATAATTTGTAATCATTTTATGATGTATACATGAGTAGACACAGAGTTAACATTCACATAAAGAAATCCGAACCAGATAATATAATATTTATGTATTTGAAATATAAGCGGCTTAAAAGTTTGAGCAGGTCACCGACAGTATTTCAAACCGATTGGAATGTTTACATTTTTGTTTTTTACCTTGTTCATACTTACTTTTAGGTTAAACAACGTAGAATACTACTGTTAACAATGTTCAGTGATTTTGACGAAACTCATCGATTAACGGTTAATCAAAGTCAATTTCGTCGTGTTCTAACGACACTTGGACTTGGGGAGTCATTAACAGAAAGAGAATGGATTGCATTATATTGCAAATACTGTCATCAAATGGGTCTAACAAACAACGTCAATTATCAAGCTTTTATTGATGATATTTACACAAGAGCTGGTATGGATCCGCGTATGCCATAGTCATAAATAATCATGAGAAACTGTTAACATTATAGTACAATCTATGTTTGATTAGCTAAAACCAAAATTTAAATTGGTGAGACGAAAATTCTATCCTATTAAATAACTTTATCTGTAGTGCAACGAAAAATAATTGTTTGTTATGTGACACGAGGATAGGCGAAACACAGTAAATTGTTCATGATAACATACCGGAAATAAAAATTTTTCGTGAGGTTTCGGTTGGTCTTAACAGTTAGGAAAGCTCATATCAATATTAATGACTTTTTGGACAGCACATATGAATAGGAATTTGTTCGTGAGACAATACATTAGAATGTAGGTTTAGCCTACCAAGTGTGAAATCAGCACAGCGAAGTACAGCCAAGAAGAAAATTTGAGTGAAGTAGAAATTATTTATTCGCACGTTTAGAACAAGACAGTTTGAGCGGATAAGTTTATTATAGGTTCTTAGTTCCTACTCATGGCTTAATTCTAATTTGAAGATTTAAACGATGATAATAAACCACCATTTAAATGGTGATAGTTTAACTCACTAATCTGTATGTTATAATATGGTTTAAAACGTATACACATTTTGCGTATACACTTCAAAAGCAAGTAGTTTAAAGTAATGATTATCTTAGGTTTACCTAATCTGTCCTCTTTTGTGGAAAACTAAATGTCAGGAAAAATGATTTCTGAATGAATTGAAAGGAAAACGTGTTGAGTTTCTAAAACAATTAAAACAATGTATCCATGCATAGATGCAAACTTTTATTACGTTTTGAATGTAATCAAAATTGTCAGTGAACCGCTAACAGAACTGCGCGGAGAAAAATTCCTGTGTCAGACGAAATCTCTCTCAAGAGGCTTGTTTGGCTTTTGCCAAATTACGTCACCTATGGCGAAGGCAAAATATCCATCTATCAGTTAAAGGACGAGTATACTGCACAGCAGTTCGTTCTGTTTCAATTAACGGCTGCGAAACCTGGCCATTAAGAGAAGAAGATACTCGTAAGCTACTAGTATTTGATCACAGATTTCTTAGAAATATTGCTTGCATCTTCTGGGATCACCGAGTAAGTAATAGTGAGTTTGGACTCAGGCTATTAGGAAATGATGGTAAATCAGTTGATGAGGTTGTGAACCTACATCGACTGAGATGACTGGGTCACGTATTGCGCATGTTCAAACACCGACTACCACGACGCGCAATGCTGACTAGTGTTGGAGACGGATGGAAGAAAGTTAGGGGCGGTCAAACCAAAACATGGCATCAGTCCATGAAGTCATGAACTTCTGATATGAGACATGTTGGTAGATGCAGACTACTTGTTTGTAGTCCACGCGACTATCGCAACCATTGGTTGGAGGTCCTGGGTGACATGGCTTGGAATCGATCAAAATGACGTAGGTGTATACACTCTTTGTCTGCCCTTAAACCGTGAAATAAAAATTACTTTATAGCTTTCTAATTCTTTCTTCCTGTTTTATATCCTTATACACGATCTTTCTTTTATACATCACTACCATTGAAGTAACTTCTTTAATGAGTTTTGTGTTCATCTTGTTATGCTAATGAGGTATGGCAACTCGAACGAATTAATATATATGCCTGATCCTACTATATCGATGATTGACTGATTTTGAAGCCTCTGGTTCAAGATTAGGAAAACTACGCTCATGTGACTTATCACTTTATCTAGTCTACTAATAATATAGAATTTCAAAAAGCAGCCAAAGTATAAATTATCGGAACTATTCATAAAAAGAAACAGTTGAATGAATTGTTGCTTCAACTTATTTTCAAATCAACGCTATGCTGAAACCTAGTGATATAGTTTTATTTCCATACAGTTATGATCGAAAAAGGACTAAGAGAACATACTGAATAAAATATGGTATAAAAATAAGTTTTAAAATTCCTTAGTGTAAAGGTACTTTTAAAAAAGAAATATAAAATACACTTTACATTCATCTTATCAAGCGACAACACGTAAACAGTAGCTTACACATTTTGCGCTCTTATAATAAAAATTTCAGAAGTTGCTAACGTAATTATATGCCCGGATTTTCTTTGAAAAACGTTCTCTTTCAATTATTCTACGTGATCGAGTGAATTTGATTTAGCATCTCGATGAAGTCATCCAGTTCGTGTTAAACTCTGGAAAATGTTATTACAGAATAATCAACATGTTCAACCCCTTATGGTGTAATATTCAGGACCACTTGATATTTATTTATACATAATTCGGGTAATGACACGGAGGTAATTAGCTGACTGGTCTGCTAATAATCTCAACTTTATTTGACCCTTGGAAATTAAGAAAAATCTCCTTTGTAAATAATTGTGACTTAATGGAAATACCGCGGCAATCCGTGCTGGATGCACATACACCAAAAAGAGACTGATCATTTGTCGTCCTAAATAAACATCATTGGGAAGATTTGTACAACCAGTACAAATGAATTAAAATTAAAACAGGTATATTAAAGTAGTTCTTTAAATAATTTAATATTAAAGCAGATGAAGATCATAATAAGTAATGGGAATAAATAAAAATGATAAACATATTAACTGAATAGTTTTTATTGGTACAAACATTGTTTTCAACTAAGATACAAACTATCGTTTAATGCAGGTAACATGCAACGTGTTGATTTATAGAAAATATTGCTAAGTATCAGTAAAAACTATTAGTAAACGGTAAAAAAGTATAAATTCAAACAGTAACTGCAGTAATCAGTCCGAAAGATACAGATTGTAAAATATTAAGAAAATATACATTACTTCAAGGATCAACTCAAACTGCCCCATGAAAATACTACTTCAGAAATCTCCAGAAAAACAATCCAAGTACCAGCTCAAATATTGCTGAAAGCTCTTGAACGAATGATATAAGAAAGCATAAATGCAAATCAATCTCTGGTTCATCACTAAAAAATTCGACATAGCAACCTAAAATATCAAACTCCGCATATCTATAATTTCTAGCAATATTATTTATCGGTTTAAATATAGTATAGTGATAGATAAAGGTAAAAAAACCTCTAAAATATGCAAGCTATCTCAAAGACAAAAACCAATCACTTTTAGTTATGGATTCAAAGGTCTTATGAATTAGGGGCAGAAAAAATCAGAGAACCAAATCGTGATTTCCACGTACAGCAGGGACATATAGTTTGGACATATTAAGTTTGAACAAAATAAGGTAAATTGTAGCGTTGAGTCACTTAGCTATTAGTATTACTGCAAACTCAACGACTGCATTGTATAACATGATAAATTTACGTTAGAACAAGACATTTAAGTGAACAGTTTCTTATTAATAATTGAGATAGTCGCTTGTGTTTTAACGGCTATCAGGAAAACCAATATTAGGATTTTGAAGGCTAGCTTCAAATAATTACATTAAAGATACACAATATACGTTCATTTCTTCTAAAACAATTTGTGAAAGACAAATTGATGGTATAGATAAAGGATCACCTTTAGGCTCTATCTTACTTGACTTTTTTCTTGCAAAATTAAATGAATATCTTAAGGAGATTGCTGGTAGGTTGGATTATATATTGATCAACGTCTATTAGAGTATTCGATGAGAAATAGTAGGGCAAATTCACAGCGTTCTCTCGACAAACGTGTTTACTCGTGAGGAACTTGACAGTAAATAGCACTTCTTCGATGTCTTGTTAAACCGAAAGGAAAATGAGTTTGTCAGTAGCGGCGCTCATAGTTAACGTTTACTTGAGTGTTGGTACACAGTGGTTTTTAACTTCTTACCTATGCATTACAATAGAAACTGAATTAAATGCCTTTCAAACGGAGCAAATGCTCATACGACGCTAAAAATAAAGAACTGCGGTTATACATAATTTGTTAATTATAATAGGTTACTCACAGTGTCTTATGAATAAGCATATATCAACAATTAAGAGGAAGCCAAATCCATGAACTGTTTGTAAAGACCCTTTCTTCCTAAAGCTATAATTCAACGACAATATAACTAATGATGTCTGATACGATAGATTAAGCAGGGCTGTGAAAAAGACAACGTGTGCACATAATATCTATTTGTTGTTTACCAGTTCCTTAATTGAAGAATATGTTACCTAGTCTTATCGTCTCAATATGTATTTATGAGTTCAGCCAGTCATGTTGAGAAAGTCATATGGCCACACTAACAGTCAAATTGGCTAGTAGGTTGGCGAACATCTCTCATTGTAAACGGTCAGACAAAATCTATACGCAGCACTTTTCTGTCACACTTGATAAATGGTGGTCATGTGCTCGATAAAATCAAAGTATTCATAGTATACCCTCAAGTCTTCCTAATAGGATGCGACCTCGCCTTTTACCTTCAGGAGAAACTATGAGTATCCAAGCTAGCAACTCTAATCTTTGTATCGAAAAGACTTGCAATGACGTTATCCACTCTATGGTTAGAAAACGTCTAGTAGGCGATTAGACTATTTTTTTTACATCAACCCTTGATTCGCTTGATCTCTTTCTAATTTGATATTCACTACCTAAGTATTTGAACTGATTATCCATATACATTTTATCACACGATTTTTTCAAGTTTCAACATACTTCCTCTGCTGAAATTATTATTGTCATTGTTTTGATCACTACAGATGCCGATGTCATCTTACTATCAGTGCATACTTTCTATTTATTACGAATGGTTATGTAATCTATTTAGTTGTAGTCAATAACTCAACAATCGCTTAGACTTGTTTAATATTTTTTAAATATATGGATAAACATATTGTTTTATATCAGAGTAAACAAAACCTGGCAAAAATCTAATCACAAACAATACTATTCTCTTATATGTATATTATAGTTATCGGTGTCTACTTCCATTAGTCGTTACTGGTTAATATTAGGTTCTGATTATGAGAACCGATCTGTAATCAGCTGCTCTCTAATTTCACCATTAAATGTAATCAACTGACTGCATAATTACATAATTATTAAAGGCAATATATATTTTAATATATACATGTCTTGA